CCCTCCACACCCCTCCCCTCCCCTCCTCCTCGCGGTGTTTCCACCTTCTCCCCCCCCTTCCTTCTACGCATGCGGGGACACTTCATTAAGAAATCCGCCCGCTGACGCCCGCCTCCCCTCCGCACCCCTCCCGCGCCCACGTGACTCGGCGTGAGCTTTTGACAACCGGTCCAGTCTCCAGGGGTTCCCACCCCTCCAGGTGGGGCGGGGCAAAGTGGAAAAGGTCTCTGTTGATTGGCTGTCAGGAGGGGCAAAGAGGAGGGAGCTGGGAGATTTAAAGGGACAGGGCAACGCCCCCTGGCAGGCCCCGGGGAGTGAGAGGGAGGAGGAGGTGGCTGAATTTGGCCGACGTAAAGGGATCTGGAGAGACTAGGGCTATTCCTGGGAGGGTCCCCGTAGGCTTAGAGTGTGTATGGGGGAGACAGATCCCAAACCTCCCCCACCCTCAAAAAAAAAGATAGCTGTGAGTGGATTGGGGCTTAGAGCTAAGGGTGAGGGAGAAACTGGATTTTTTTTCTAGAAAGCAGGCGGAAGCGCGCGCGAGCGGGGCGTGGGGAGCCCCGCTGTGGCCCAGGCTGACTCCCCTGAAGCTCAAGGCTGGCAAGGCCCCGATGCCGCGCAGAAAGAGAGACTTTGATGACGGGATGGCGTTTCCATTTTCTACTTTCAGCCACTTACCCCAAAGCCCCAGTTTCCTGAGAGGGACTTCTCGCCCGTAAATCTTTCTCAAGCGGAGCAGAGAGCGCTGGAAGGATGCGATAGCCCCACTCACATCATCGCACAGAGGAGGGATACTCAGTGAAATAAAAGGAGGGAAATAGGAAGTGGGGGGCAATAGAATAGGCTGATATTTCAATATACAATAGAAATTAAAAGCCTCGGAGTGAGAATTTCTTTTTCAAAGAAAAGGGGGCGGGGGCAGGGGAGGGGAGGATTCGGTCTAGGAAAGCTAAAAAAGCCCTGGCTGTGAACAAGAACACTGGCGCTCTCATATCCGTGTACTGAAGGAAACGCGAAGTGAGGGAGAGTCCCCACTACCCCTTTGGAGGGATCTTTCCCAGGCGCAAGTCTGGGAGGACCCAAGAGGCCAGACCTCAGCCCCATGGTAGGCCCTGGGCCGTTATGCCCATGAGGGCAAAGGGGCCGAGCAGAGCTGGAATTAATGCAGTTTCCATTTGGACAACCCCAGTTTTAGCTCCCAGGGCTTTCTTGGGGTCACTCCCTTTTAGTGTGAGTTATTTTCATGCTTTAAAATTGTCCCATATTTCAAAGGACAAATTAACACCAACGTACGGGTCAAGTCCCCCTCTTCTTCACTCCCAATGTCCCGACTTGTGGGGTTTCCTATGCCCAATTTGGTGCCTTAAAAGGGTCAGCCCTTTCCAGGGCACATCTCCGTGGAACTGAGCCAAATTCCCTTTCATCATAGGGCCTCCCTGAAAAGAAGAGGTAGTAAAGAGAGAAAAAAGAGGGGAGAGAGGCTGCAGCATCTCCCTCTTTTCTCCCTCTCCCACATAGTTTACACCTTTTTGGGGTGCTCCTGTCCATACAGCACTGGAGCAGTGGCCACACAGTAACCTAGGGCTAAGCCGGAGGACCCACTGTACCCCTCTAGCCCCCAGAGCAAATGGCCAGATCTATACTGAGATCCAGCCCACGCAGCCTCCATTCTTCCTGTAGGGGGAGGGTGGTGTTTGAGGATGGAGAGCGACCTGGCAAGGGTGAATTAGGATAAGAAACTAATCCTTATCGGTGTGACCGATATCCCAAAGGGTCACCTTAGGTTTCAGAAATCAGGCTTCAGGCTGGGCTGGCAGTAAGAAGAAAATACAACAGAAAGGTTTGAAACAGAAGCAGGCTAGCACCAGTGTGTGTTATGGGGGATGATGGTGGAAGGACGGAAGATGAGCCGAGAGGAAGGTGGGTCTCGCTGGGAGCGGCTCTTGGCTGGGAAACTGGCTTCCCTGCCTCCAGAGTCCAAGGTCAAGGGGACACGAGGAGAGCAAACACCGTCTGGCCAGTCTAGACTGGGTCTTGTGACCTTGGCCCCCTTGTCTGCCTTCGGCCTGGCTGGTGGGGGTAGGTGGGTGGAGAGGTCTGCGGGCTTCCAGCCAGAGGAGAGAAGTGGTGCAGAGGCCCTGGCTTCCCCTCTGGTGATGTGCAGGATCCTACGGAGTGGAGAACCGGGGCAACGTGGACCAGGCTCTGTGGGGCCAGGAGGAGAAACAAAGGGCCTGAAATGCCCACTTCAATCCTGAGGCTCCCTCTCTGGTACAGGAATGCTCTAGCCCAATGCTAGAGGCGAATTTCTCCGACCAGAACCCAAATACACGTCCCCCAGCTTCTGGAAGTAGGGGGCAGAACCTCGGAGAAGGAACTGGGTGCAGGACTGCCCAGCAATAAATAAAATTAATAGTATGTTCTTTTCCAAGTTTATATAAGGACATTAACTATTCCTATTGCAATGAGATATAGATTTAATTAACCCGGCAATTTTACAATTCCATTTATTAGGGGCACTATGCGGCAAAAATTTAGCGACAGGAGGAAAGAGCTTGAACCACAGTCCCCTTCGTCAAGAAGACCAGTCTAAGAAGATGTAGGTCCCCCAAGAGACTTGGGGAGAAGGCTGAAGGGGAAAGTTCAGGGCTAAGGGCGTTAAACGTGGCTGGTGAAGTGTCCACACGCTCTTTCGTTTGATTCCCCAAGACCTTCCGCGCCTGAAACTGCCAGCGCCGCGGCTGGGGCGCGCCGGGCCGGGAGGGAGGCAGGCGGCGGTGCCAGAGCCCGCGGCGGGC